GAATATTTCACTCCAGGCTCTTTTTGACTTGATGGTTGGTGTCAAGAAGTCTGCTGTTATTCTGATGGGCCTTCCTTTATAGGTTATCTATTTCTTGCCTCTAACAGCTTTTTCTTTCCTTATATTGAAATTCTGAGATCTTGATTATTATATGCCTGGGCGTAGCTCTGTTTTGGTTGTAGGTGGCTGGAGTTCTGTATGCTCATATATCAGAATACCATTTCCTTTTCCTATGTTTGGGGAGTTTTCCTTAATTATTTCTGTGAATAACCTTTGTAGTTCCTTTGTTTGTACCCCTGCTTCTTCATTCACATTCTTTATTCTCAAGTTATAGATCCTCTTGTCATCTTCTAGCCTTTGTATTGTTACTGCTTATTTCCTTGTTATTTTTAAAAAGTTTTCCCTTTCATAATACCACATTGCAAAATTGTCCTCCAGTCTGGATAATCTATCCTTAGTTTCTTTCAAGCTGATTTGCCATCTTTCCATAGAGTTTTTAATTTCCTGGTGATCCCTTTGAATCTGCTTCATGTGTTCTATATTTTTTTATATTCTTTATCAAATGGTTCTCTTCTTTGTTTGAGTTCCTTCCTTCTTCCGTCTGTGTCTGCTTGAGAGGTGCTTAGTATCTCTTTTATTAATGTTCTTGTATCTTGTTTTACTTGGCTAAATATTTCACTTTTGAACTTGTCTATGAGGTCCTGAATATATCTCTTTATGTCCACTGGTGTCGTGTCTGATAGTGCATGTTTGCTGTTCTCATTCTCCTTTGTATTTACCTGTCCTGGATCAATGTTCTCAGGGTTGGGACCTGGGGACTTTTTGTTGTTGCTTCCTCTTCCCATATTTTTTGCTTCTTCCAGGAGGCCCCGATTTCTTTTTGTGTTGGTTACAATTCTTTTGAAGCACACTGGCAAGATGGCCCTTCCCACTGCTGTGTACTAGTGAGTTACAGACAAGGAGAGTGTATGCTGGCCCTTCCCCTCCAGATCAGTCAGGCTGCTATGGCCTGAACTGTATTACTTTGCCGCAGCCTCCTCTCCAGATCAGTCAAGCTGCTGTGGCCTGAACTGTATTACTTTGTGCCACTCCTCTCTGGGTTAGTCAAACTTCTGAGGCTTCACTGGGTTAGTGGGGTTAGTGTGTTCCACCGCTGTAGGGACTTGATTTCGGATAACTATTAGGTCCCAGCCAGGTCATGTGACCCAGGCCTAGTTCCACCAGTCCCGTTTGGGAAGGGAACAACTGACTGAAGTCGCTGCTTCCCCTTGTACTTGCCAGTGCTGCCCGGTCCCAGAATGTCCTCCACCGGAGCCCCCCTTTCTGTGGAATGGCTCCACTCCTGTCACTCACCACAGGTCGATGCAGGCTCCCTGCCAACTCAGCTCCCCATTCAGCTCGCTGACCCCAAACTCAATGTAACTGCACCTCCAGTGAGTCGAAGCGGCGGGACCTCTGATGGTCGGCAAGTCGCCTGCTGCGGTGGGAACATTGAACCTTTAGCTGTTCCAATAATAGCACCAGGACTGAATGTTTGGTTGGTTCTTCTCACCTTAATTTCTTCTTAGGACGAGAGAATTCATCTCCCTCTGTTTGGGGCTCCCCACTCTGTGTTATGTTGAATTCTAAGTTGACTATCTCAGGGAGCCTCTGTAGCCAGTTGTTTTCTATCCTCCATCTTTGCTCCTCCCTCATATGCCTTTTTTCTATCTTTTATTTTTATTAAAGTCTTTCTTATTTTCTTTCCTATTGCTTTGAGATTCCTTTATCATTTATGTTTATAAATTCTTAAAATGATCCCCATGTAAAATTTATTTTTATTCTGCCTTGAATGCTTTATTGGAAACAGTTTATAGAACCTTTATAAAGGAGTGTCATCCTGCTTACACAAAAACTGTGAACTCACTTAAAAGTATAAATGATGTAAAGGTGGAGAAATACTTCTGAAGCACCTAAGCATCCAATACGAGACTAAGGAGCCTGGCAAGTGCCTGAGAAGCCCCAGGGGCTCAGGGGCTGGCTCTTGGCAGTCTTGGGGTCTCGAGTGCTTAGCTGGGGAAACACAAGCCACGTGTTCTAAGGAAAGCGTGTCTTTACCTTTTTAGACACGTGACTGCCAGAGTCCTTGCTCCCTGTTCATGTTTAACACCTCTCACTGGCTTTCTTTTCTAGGTTTTGCCAAACTTTCTTTTCCCTTCTGGAAGTTACAAACCTAGGTCCATGGAACACGCTCTTTCAAGCCCCCTGTGCCGTGGGAGCAGCTGTGTGACATGCTTTCCCTTTTCTAATAGAGTGTTACTTTGTTAGAAAATCACCACGGCCAGACTCAGAACTCAAAAACCTAGGAGATGGGCCGCTTCCCAGTGAGGTCTGGCTTAATGAGGCCTAAGTTAAACCTCTTGGCTGTGGTTCTCCTAAGGTGCAGAAGCCTGTAGGTGCCCCACACCCTGCTTTGGGCTGCTATTTCCTCTCTCTGAGTCACCCTTTCCCTGGCAGCTGCGAAGTAGCCAGCATCCCACCTCGCCACCTGCACCACAGCACACACTTGTGTCGCATGCCTGGGCCTCTTCCACTCTGCTCTGTGCATGCCCAGCCCCCTCTGCACCCTCACACTAGATGTCAGACTGAAGACTGGAGTTTTACCCAGGAATTGGCTTTTGGCTATGTCCCTTACTCTCTCTGTCCAGCATTTCTGCTTGTCACCTGCTCTTCACCTTCTCACTGGGATTTGGTCCCATGATTGTAGGTACAATCCCTGATCAAACACAGTGTGCATAATAAATATCTACTCAGTCAGTTGAAAATATCTTCTTGCTTGAATTTCAATCTATGTCTTGGACATGTTTGGACATATGCACACAGTACTCTTTTTCACTTGCTTTTCTTCTTAGAATTCATGTTTTGTTTTCTAGCCTTTCTGTCATTACTGTCTGAAAGCTTTGCATACGTTACTTCTAATATTTTCAGTAATTGCCCTCTCTGTTCCTCTCTACAAGAGGAGGCTGAGGGTCCAGAGCTCATCGTCTAGTGAGTTGTGGGCTTCACTTCTAGACCCCATAACTGTGGCCTCCCCCCCAGTTCCTGGACTTGTTTCTTCCCACCTTCCCTTGACCCTGATCGCATCCTGATGGATCGCCACTGCCCCTCCCTAAATCCCAGTTGTGACGGAGGAAGCTATAAGGGAAGAGCAAAGCTGGGAGTCCTTGATGAGGTCTTTATGTGGAGATTGGAGCCAAAATTGTCTCCACCTCTTCAGCCTGAGGGAGCGGAAGCATGGTGGTGTCATCAAGAGAAATAGGTGGTAGATTTTTGGGTTGTTGAATCGGGCTTGAATTTTGGGGACTTTTCACTGCCTAACCCTGGGAAGATCTGAGCTTCTCTGAATGTAGTTTCTCCATCTTGCCCTATGCATAATCTTACCTGACTGTTGCGGTTGTCAGTTTTCTGGTCAAGTGATGGAAGGCATGATGTGCTTGGCAAAGAGTAAAGCTATGTGTGCACGTACCATTGTCAATATGTCAGATGCATTATACTGGAGTTAGAAGTCGGAGGCGACGACTTCTTGAATAAAATATGTTCATTCCAGGGACCTATTATCTATTTTTTAATGGCAAGTAAACAAAGAATGGGTTTTATTTTTGTATTTCAGTACAGTTGAAAAAAGAAGCCAAGAGGAAAATATCTATGACATATGAAAATGACATGAAATCCACATTTCAGTGTTTACAGATGAAGTTTCCTGGAGCGCAGCCGGTTTATGCTCTGCCCATGGCTGCTTTGTACCGTGGCAGCAGCACTGTGACGCTTCTCGGCCACCAGAACCTCGCGCATTTACTGCTGGGCGCGTAGGAAACCTTGCTGCGCTCCTCTCTTCCTTCTTACTGGTTGAAGCTCCCAGAAAAGACAGCTTAAACAAATCTTAAAGGTTGTTTTTTTTTTTAAATAAACTGATTCCTTTTATTTGACAATAAAGGTAAAATGAGGATGTATTTGTTTTTTCTCTCCTTTTTGGAGGTTTAAAAAAATAAATCTTTAGCCGGTCATGTTGGTATGTAGCTGTCATCCCAGCCACTGCAGAGCCTAAGGCAGGAAGACTCCCAGGTTTGAGGCAACCTGGGAAATTTAGCAAACTTTGTCTCAAAAAAATGAAATGAAAAAAAAAAATAAAGGCTTTATCTCAGTGGTAGAGGCCCTGAGTTCAATCCACAGACTGGGGGGAAAAAGGCTCTATTCAGTGCTGAGATGCTGTTATAACATGAAACATAAAATGCTCACCACCAACCTCAAACCATCCTTCAAGTGGCTAATGTGTGTTTTTATTCTGATTAATGCTTTCTTCTAACTCTTGATGTCTATATTTCCAAATGATTGTCATCATGATAACATAGATGTTATAGTTACTGATCCTTTCCGGCTTTTATAAGTGTTGCTAGATTTTTATTTTTATTATTCATAATGGTTATGTTGTCAGAGTAGTACAATTTGCAAGATATACACACACACACATATATACTTACTTATTTTAGAAATACTTTTTGCTCTTGCCTTTGGTCAAATTCTTCCATATTCCGATGCAGCTGCGGATGTGTCTCTTTGGAGCTGGGGCTGGCCTGCCCTTCCCTGCTCACTGCCTTCCCGCCCTCCTTCTCCGCTCTGCCCCATGATGAAAGTGTGGCTTGCTTTCTGAGAAGGCTGAGGAAAAATGTCAGAGGGAAAATGAACAAGATACTTTCAAAGTGATTTCCTGTGTGTTTTCTCAGATCTCCCCCCAAAGCATTTAATAATAAATTTTAAAAAACACGTAACAAACAGAAATGGTTCTTCTAATAAGGATATGAAAAAGGTTTGCACTTTCTGTTGCATTTCTGAACAAGTGGGAATAAAAGCAAGACCATTGCTGTCATTACATTATTACTGTTGACATTTTCGGTGTATCAAGTTAATTCTATGAAATGCAAGTGAAAATGGCTATTTATGTATTTTTTCTCTTATTTTTCTAGTGAGAAGCTGGATGGAAAAACTCAAAGACAAGGTAAGAAAAGTCTTCTTCCTCTGGAGTTATCCTCCAGGGCATATACCTTTGGGAGAAGATGTTCAAAGCAGTGAAACTTCATTATTCTGATTCTGCTGCTTTGTGCAAATATATAGGCCCTTTCCAAGTGCCCGTTGCAAAAGATTTCCCCTTTAATTTCCTTCCTGTGGAATACCTGATTCTTTGGAGCACCATTCATACTTACAAAGGTGAAAAAATTTACCTCACTTGGTGTGCTCCACTGAATAATAACCTTAAGATTCTGAGGTGGACTTTCTTTTAGGGAATTTCACAGTGCTATGCAGTTCTGCCTGGCATTTCTTGTGCCAATGTGAGATAAGAAAGTGGTACATGGCTTATCATAAGTGTTGATGAGCTGACCTGTTTGAACGACCAGTTGTGGAAAAATATTTTTCTCTGTTGTATTAATTCTGCCTACATAGTGATTGACAATATTAACTTCCTTCCAGGTTCATATTTTCATTTTCATTTGACTTTAAACCCTTTGCAACTTTTCACATTTGGTTAGTTCATCATTTTAAACTGGAATTATTCATAAAAATACTGATGGAGTTTAGAATTCCTTGGGTTAGCCTGTCAGATTCCATTATCATAACCAAGTTCAGATTTGAGACGTTTTTAATGATCAGGTGTTGAGTGACCTCCAATTTTCCAGTCATTTATGCTCTTCCATATATTTTTTATTATTTGGAATAGATATTTTTCCATATTTGAATTATTTCTATTTAGTTACAGTGTAATGGTAAAGACTAAAAGGAAATATTCAGTTACAATTAAAATTATATAACTTCATCTTCACTTTTATTTTTCTGCTTTTCCCTAAAATCTGGCATATATGTAGGTTTTGAGGATGAGATATTTGTGTCCATATACATCGGAAGTGGTACTGAAAATGTGACAGCTGTCCAAGGGGGTGGAGAGGGTCCTGGCATTTGTAATGGAGCTAGTGTACAAAGGAGGCTTGATTAGATAGACTGAGAAGAATGTAGGTGAAGAAAACTTGTAAATTTAGAATCAGATGAAAATTTACATGGGGAGTGTTTGTTATTGGTCAGGGGAAAGCAAGGTAATCTAGGAACCCAATAGTTTCTGCAGAAAAATATCCTTCTGAGGTACCGAAAAGGACAAACAGTGGGTTTAAGAAGTAAATTCTGGCATAGAGCCGCTTTGGAGTTTGCTACTGCAGAGTTTATTACCTGCACACTTGCACCATTCTCTTTAAAATCTGCTTAGCTTTAGAAGGGTTCATATCATCTGTACCTGTGAAGCTCCCATTCATAAGTCTGATACCTTGCCACTGCTTCTTTTTATTAAGAGAAATAATTTTACACATGACTCCTAATTTTCTGGCTTGTTTTGAAGTGTCTCTAGTACTTTTTTCAGTTTCTTTGGGATTTTTTTGGTATGCCTTAATTTAAAAAATAAATTGGAAGAAGAATTAAATTGAGCTCCAAAGCAGTCCTTTTACTTAACATCTACCTCTTTTTCTGATTCCTTCTTGGTGGAATTCATTCAGATCTTTCCACAACCTCCCTCTTTCATGCTTGAAATAGTGTATGCTCACGCTGATGTGTTTACATTTCAGACAGAGCATGTATCTGTCTCCCTTTTTCCTCATGCCCTTCCTACCTGTTTTCTGCAAGAATCTTTTTTTTTTGTCTTTTTTCTTTTTATCGGTACCAGAGATTGAACTCACGACTACTTGCTTACAAGGCAGGCTCTTATGCCGCTGAGCTAAACCCCCAGCCCCTTTCTGCAAGAATCTTGTTAGGCATCATCGTTAGAAACTATTTGAAAGTGTAGCAGTTGTCTCTCTGATGAAAGCCAGAGAACCTGTTAGAAATGGAAACCCAACTACATATTAAACTGGCCTCTTCAGCCAAGGCAGGCCTTTCAGTTTAGCTTCACTAAAATTATCCCAGGATGGTGGTACCTTGGCTCATGAGCTTAATTCTTTCTGTGGTTATAGTTGCAGCTACCAGGGTGGTGGAATTCCCTCCAGAATCATAGAGAGGATTAAGTTCGTGAACTGAGGCACCACTCTATTGGGTTTCAATGAATTAATTACCCAGAAAGTTTTCAATTATCCCTTTGTTGTTCTTGAGTCATCCCATACTAGTTAGAATTAAGGTTAGCTCTGAAGGATAGACACTTTCTGGTGACAGTGGCTTAGACCACAGCTTGACTAATCTGGAGATAAGAGTAAAGGACTAAAGGAGAATGACATAATAACTGGGCTCAAACTGCTTATGACCTTCAGTCTCAAGGTCATGTTGTGGTCCTGGATGGCAGCTACGACTAAACTGTGTCCATATTGTAACCAGAAGTAGACAGGAGGAAGGGCAGGCTAATAATGCTCTTCCCTTCCTAAATCTACTGTAAAAACCAGGCATGGCAGTGTATGCCTGTGATCCCAGCACTCTGGGAGGCTAAGGCAGGACGATCACAAGCTGGAGCCCAGCTTGTACAATTTAGTGACTTAATAAGATCCTACCTCAGTTTATATCTTGAAGTAAAAAAGGGCTAGGTATGTAGCTCAGTACAAAGGCCCCATGTGCAATTTCTAGTACCACACACAGAACAAAACAACATAAATTACACATTGAGACCCTTTGTTATTTTTATAGGGGATGGGCAAGGGGAGCATGAATGCTCTGTTTCCCTCTTAAAGGCTGTGTCTTCACATTTGCAGGTACTGCTAACGTTTCACCTTGCTAAAATTTACTACCTGGCTGTGTTAAGCTACATGCAAGATAGTGATCTCTACCCAACCTAGGACCAGAAGCTTTAGAGCAACAGAGTAAAGGAAATGGCACTGAGGGGCAGTGACCTGCAATAACCCCAAGTAGTGGGGGAGGCTTATGAGGCAGACCTTACCTTGGCTAGCCAGTGATGCAGTTTTCCAGTATCGAAATTGCTTCTCGAAATGGAAAAAACAGTGACTTTAAATTGTGTGACAAAGACCTACCCTATTGTCTTGTCACCCAGTGCGTCCTGTTCCATCTGGAAGGCATCTAGCAAACAAATGCTATGGGTTGTGCTTTATAGCAGCAGTTCAGTGTGTGCCAGCCAGAGGCAGCACCGTGCTCACTGGGGTATGGATTCTCAGCGCCCGCCCTGGCTTCCTGGGCTGGGGTCTGTGTAGGAGCAGGTGTACAAGGATGCCGATGTGTGCAGAGCCTGGCCAGGTTGATCTGGAGGAAGGCAGAACATTATCCACTGAGAGTGTTCTTCTGGAAAGCTCATTGATTGGTTTTAACATTGGCCACCAGCTAGGTTTCTGGATGCACACTTGTTCTTCCATGTATGGAGAATGCTGTCTTTTTGAGACAGGTCTTGCTATGATGCTTAGGCCAGCCTTGAGCTCACTTTGCAACCCAGACTCAAGCTCACAATGTCCCACCTGGCTCAGCCTCCTGAGTGTGGGGATTAGAGGCATGTGCCACCATGCCTGGCTGGGAATGCCGATGTTTAAAAATCTGTATTTTCTTGTGAGAGCATCAAAAATGTTTTATTCCCTAGTGTTTTGCTACATGGAAAATTACAGTTTTTCATAAGCCTTAAGCAGAGCTGGAAGAATTTTAGAAAAAGTTAGGGCTTCTGCAAAGCATATTAATGTGTTGAAAAATGATTGAGCTTTGTTTCTCAGGAAAAAAGTACTTCATGTGCTGACAAGAAATGCCATTGTTCCCAAATTAATGGGGACATTTCCATGTTTGGCCTCACTTAGGACTTGGGAAGGCAGAATGAGGGAGGAGCAGGCTGCGCGTGAGAGGAGGATGCCATCTCATAAGGTCACATCTCACCCTCCATTCACTCTAGAAATGTTGGGAAGATGTCCCAGGGTGCAGCTGTCAGCCCTTTAGGACAGTTTCATTATCTCTCTCTGCTTTTGGCTTATTCTGAAAGATACTGGAGATAGTTTGAGCTACATTAGAAATTTAAGGCAAATGAATGAGTGGACTCATTCCTCCTTCAAATAATGCTTATCTAAAGTGTGTATTTCAGCCCTTAAGGGTTTATTAGTTATGTATTTTGTCTGGATGGGCTTCTGGAGAGGTAAGCCTGTGAAGGGTCCTGGGTTGGTACAGCGCCTTGTGCCATACAGGTCTTAGGGGCCATCAGGGATTGTTCTCAGTATAATGGCTGACCCTCCCTGGGTCCTGAGCTACTTTCCTAACCCAGGAACATTTGGGGCTCAAACTGCTGATTTAGGATTGAGGTATCCATAGTGACCCTTGGGGATGGTGAAACCATCACTTGGGTTGAAACGTTTAGACTTTTTTAGAGGTGCAAATATTGCTGGCAGTGATCTCTGTGCCTCTTTCTACCACAGCCTTTCATAGGGTCTGGGGACACTCAGAACTCCCTCCCGGTACTGCTTTGGTCCTGTCCATGGGGCAGATCTTTCCGTTCTTAGAAACAAGTCTATTTTGTGAGCACTCTTCCTGTTCTTGTCTTTCCTGCGTTTGTGCCAGCACTTAACGTCTCCTCCTCCCCTCCCCTCCTCTGCCCTCCCCTTTCCTCCCCCTTCCTCTCTCTCTTTCCTCTGCAGGCCCTCTTCTTCTTTGTGGTGTCCAGCTAACTCACATCTTTACTGTCACCTTCATTGTCTTACTGTAGTGGAGAGGGAGACACACCACAGTTAGACCCTTCTACCTCCAGAGAGCAGTGTTCCAGAGGACACTTCAGCCGTTTCCAATTTAGAGCATTTTCATTGTCCTGGTATCCTCAGAAGCTTATTTTGTCTGTCTTTAATACAAATTTTATTGCTGGCATTGCAAGCTGATGTTGACAAATGTGCATATGTGGGTGACCGAGGGGCCACTAGATCTAGCTGATGTGAAATAGCCCCAAATCATCACACCTTCTCTCTGCTACCTTCTCTTAAGAACAGTAACTTTATTCTAGGTTCCATTATATTTCATAGTGAAGTAGGCAGGAGGGTGGAAAGATCTGAAAACCTGCCGTTGCTTAGCAGAAGTGAGGGCCCCAGGACGATGGTCTGTTTCCTTGTCTACACAGGCTGGCTACATGTCTGGAATGCTGGTCCCTGTAGGAGTGGGGATAGCCGGAGCCTTGTTTATCTTGGGCGCACTCTACAGCATTAAGGTTATGAATCGCCGGAGGAGAAATGGCTTCAAAAGACATAAAAGAAAGGTATGGAACCAATACGAGCAAAACCTAGTTGGTTTCAGAGCACTCTTCACTTATCTAACTAGCTTAATGAGGCACACGCAGTTTAATGGTGCAAAAACAGTACATACTGATGTGCCCAGTGCTTCAGATGAACCTGCCTCGAGTCTGATTTTCACTGTGTCCTTTAAAGTGGACCTGTTCCTTAGCCCTGTTCTGCAGTTGAAGGCGTTTAATGCTTTTCTCTTTTCTTTTCCTAGCAGAGAGAATTCAACAGCATGCAAGATCGAGTGATGCTCTTAGCTGACAGCTCTGAAGATGAATTTTGAATTGGACTGTGGTTTCATCGGGATGTTCAATGATGTTACTATTTTATTTTCATTTTGAGGCAAAACAACAACAACAGCATCATGCCATACTGCTGCTATGAGCCCTAGTGTCTGCTGGATAGTAGGTTTTTCTTGTTCTGAGCAGAAAAGGCATGCTGTAAACTAAATGTAACACACAGTGTTTGGTTATGCTGTAGTGCATTTCCTGTCACATGGGCTGTGATTTATAAACACACGGTATACATGTTGTTCAGTAAAAGTAGCGGGATTAGGTAGAGTAAATTTTTCCACAGTTTGAATTATCTGAATTAAGTGTAATGTTTATTGCCACCAAGGCATGCTTGACTTTGAAACAGAAATCTTGATGAAGAGTAACTTCTCATAATCACGCTCTCCGTACTTGAAATTTAGGCTCGTGGGCTACGGTACATCTTGCATTTGCATTAAAATTAGCACCTACCTGGAATGAAATCTGTTTTTGTCAAGATCTCTCAGCACATTAGAATTGTTCCTTGTAGATTTGTATGTATCTCACTATATACTTCAGTCTCTTACTTTTATTTTCACTGTCTGTTATACTCTAAGTCTTGGTCAGGAGAAAAGTGCCCCAGAAATTGTATGTTAAATTGATGCTTAATAACATATGTGCTTTCCTAAATATTATGACTATGTCCTTCAGGTCTGTCAACGGTGTCTTACATGTTTATCATGAAAAAGTATTCTTTCTGTGGGCCATCTGCCACCGGCAGGAAGAAATGAGGGAGAAATGAGGAGAATGAGGGTGGGCAGAACTCCCGGAGCATTTAGCTCTGCTGTTCGGCTCTCTGCTTATGTGACCACTACACGAATGTGTCAGTTGCTTTTTTGCAACTGTGGTCTTTTCCATGGAAGGAATGAGCCACTGTTGGTTGTTTTTTGGACTGATTAGGGCAAAATATGTTCTGTGGTAGAAGCAGGCTCCGTGGCCAGGGGTGTAGCACACAGTGGAGCTCATGGAAAACCAACCACTCTCAGGGCACCCACCCCAGAATAGGGACTGTGTGAGAGCTGGGCGTGTGATTCCCTGCACGGTACTAAGTAGGGTATTTAAATATCCTGTTTGAATCTGGGCATTTGGGACTTGTGTTTAGTTGAGTTTTGGAGTAGATAAATGTTCCAGAGACCACTGTTACTGTGGAGAATTCATGGTGTTCATTATTGGCTTTGCTGCTGCATCACACAGAGGTTCCTCATAGCTGCGGGCTGAGGAGGGATGTATGTTTCTGTTTCTCATTTGACTGGAAATGGAACTGAAGCAGAAATAGGAAATGGTTATTATCCAAAGTCAAACCCAGGGAGAAACTCAAAACCATGCACCCTGCCTTCAGTTCAGCACTTTTTCCAGGTGTCTGGAGGAAGCAGTGACATTATAGAGCCCTTCTTTACAGTCAGAGTTCTAAACAAGCAGCTGCTTGGAGAAGGAGCCTTTGATAGGAGCTGCTGTCTTTGTTAAATGATGAATGATGCCTCATGAATTTCACTCTTACACATGAACTTAAGTATCACTTGTAGGAAACTAATCAGGAAAACTTCCTAGAACCTATTCTTGACAGATGACTGGTTCATAAGAATGTTTTCATTAAGTAATGTTAACTCTTCCTGCTCAGAGAGGCATGCAAGTGTGTGAAATTGATAGAGACACAAACAGCTCTGTACAAGCAAGTTAGTGGTTGATAAATAAACTCAAGGATTTTAAACATGGAAGTCAGGGCCAAGACACTTATCAGGGATGTAAAACTTCACGAGTAGAGACACCCCGATTACACAGGGGCACGCTTCATTGTCTTAAGAGCAGGCTTTTCTGTAAGTGCTTCTCGGGTTAGGAAGAAAGAGGTGTTATGAGCACTAACCTCGCACCGGCAAGGATGCTGATGGTGCCCAGGCAGCTGTCCTGTAGCCTTCACTGGATCGGGTAGTAGCTGCCCTCTGCACACTACAGTATAATAAAGTCACAAATAACCAGCACATTCCATCTCCAGGGAGCTGTGGGCGCCGCACACATGTGGCTTTAGGCTTGAGCAGAAACATGGCTGTATACTTTGGGGAGAACACGTGGCTGTTTAAAGGGAAAGAGCATTTTTAGATCAGAGGTGGTTTCTGTGCAAACCACTGAAACATCTGGATAAAGAAAATGTAGGGTGCACATAAAGTACACTGTCGTCGTTCACTCTTAGAAAATCTCGTCATCGAGACCCTAGGTATAAAGTTAGAGGACAAGGAGGCCAATCACACAAACATGAGTGCTGCAGAATTCCAGTTAGCTGAGGTGGCTAATCAAATAGATGTACAGGAGGTAAAATGCAGGTTTCCAGGAACTAGCATGTGTGCATACATGCATGCATGCGTGCATGTATTAGTGCGTGTGTGTGTGTGTGTGTGTGTGTGTGTGTGTGTGTGTGTCTGGTGGGGGAGGACACGGGAAGAACTGATCAAGGGGTATAAAGTTACAGTTTTGCAGGATGAATTTGGGAGGCCTGCTGTACACATGGCACCTCTAGTTAACAACACTGTATTGTGAGCTTAAAAAATTGTTAAGAGGCTCGGTCTCATGTTGTGTTCCTGCCATAAAGAAAGAAACAGTGAAAGAAGAGAAACAAAAGAAAAAGAAAAAAACAAAGAAAAGAGAGACAAAGTAGAGCTCACATCCCTGGAGGAAGAGATGTTTTCCTCCATGAGATCCTGTGACTCACACCTGCCCTGGTGGAAAGAGGAAAATGAACATGGACAGGAGGAAGCTGCCAGAGAAGAGTGCGAGGCTGGGACGGAGAGAGAAGGTGTCTTCCACGCCCTGACGTCCTTTTCTGTGATCAGGAGACAATGTTTTCCTTTTAAGTCTTCTTGAGTTTTTCTCTGCTGTGAGCTGCTTGCTGTTGTAAGAAGCTGCTGGCTTAATTTATCTGCAGCGTTTGGAGTTAATTAGGATCCCAGGGTAGCAGATTCCCTTAGCAGTGCCTTAGCCTTGGTTGAAGTCCATCAACTGTCACTGCAGTTTTCCAGAAACACTTTCTTAGATTACCTGGACCGCTTATCTTGTTCATAAACATTGTGAGGAAATGTTTAAAGTGAAGTTTCAAAATATATTTAAAGTACTTGTAGTGTAGTCAATCAAAACTGACTTCATTTCATAATTTTATGAACCTTTTGTGGTGCTGGGGATGGAACCTAAGATCTCAGGCATGCTAGACCAATGCTTGAATACTGAGCTACACCCTCAGCTTTCATTTCACTGTCTTTTTAAAGGTAAAACCTAAAAGTCAAAATATTGTGAAGATGACAATTATGTGGAGCAATGTAAAGCTTCCTAATGCCCAGAACTGGCCTTTCTCTCTGCCTTCAGGTGTGTCTTTCCTGTGCAAGTCTAGAGGAAGCACCGTATTTGGAATTATATCCATTATGAGGGGAGAGGAAGCCAGTCACCCACAGGCATTGTGATTTCTGGGAAAGTACTAGAAGATGTCTAAAGCCTTTTTTTTTTTTTTTTTTTTTTTAATTTTTGGGTACTAGAAGTTGAACTTACGACCTTGCTCTTGCCAGGGAGGTGCTGTGCTGCTGAGCTATGTCCCTGGCCCAGGCATTGTGATTTCTGTGCATATGAATAATCAGTGTTCCTACCAGCTGCCAAAAAAGCAGCATTTGAAAACAGGATATATTATTGGGTGTGAGCTTATAGCCATGTGGCCTTTGATAAGACAGGCTTTGTTATGACCGCAGAGCAATCTGAAAAGGCAGGATTACAGTTGAAGAAGCTTCCTTTTTAGGTTATGTGAAGGCATGGTAATAAGGAAAGAAATATGGGTAGAAGAGGATGGGAAATGGTAATGCAGAGCGTATGTAAAAGTGGCACAAAACTTTACAGCAGTGAGGTGCACCCCTTACAGCTTTCAGTGATGACAGTCTGCTGCTGCATGCGGGCCATCGGTTCTTCACTGCTGCCTTAGAATGTGCTGCCGGAGGCCAAGTTCTGAATGGATCAATACTTGGAAAAGTTATGAAGATGAGCGAAGAGGGAACACAGTGCACAAGATCGTTAGTCAGTGAAGGTGCCATAAAGCTACAAAAATCTATTTTGCTTCCATCTTTTCCATCAAAGAAAATTACCCTGCAATAGGTGGGATGAATACATGTAGTTGGGAAGGAATTGAAGCCCAAGATGAATGAGGAGATGAAAGGTGCTTGGTTACTTTAAATGAGCTGAAGTGAAGTTAAATATCTTCCTTAATTACACAGACTTCAAATGACTGAATATAAATGTCTAGAAACAGGAAATAATTTGAAAACAAAATAATGGGATTGACTCAATAAAACTCTCATATTTGCACATTTAGTGCCCCCATAAAGCTCACACCTCCTTTTATGGGTAGCTATTAGGCTTATAAGATGGAGATAGACCGAGAAGAGACATCTAATTATGTTAACTCTGTTAATTATAAACTTGGCAATCAACATGGCTGGGAATATAATTCTGTCGCTTAATTTGTATATGCATAAAAAATTCAGCATTTATTTTGTAAGCCACTGTAATGTAAATCACTGGGAATATCCTGTTTGTGGTAACAAGTAGATTTAACTACCTATTAACCCAAATTTTTATTATGGGCATGCAAGATAAAGAGAAACATGAAAGAAGAAAAGAAGGAAATGAGGAGGGAAATTTCCTCTAGGAAATAGCAACAAAAAGTATAAAGAAACGAATCATTCTAATTTCCTTTTTTATGTAAGAGATAAAGGAAGAGAAGTCCAAAATGGTTTTGTAACCAGTAAAATTCCAAAGCTCTGGGATTAGGGGTGTGGCTCAGTGGTAGAGTGCTTGCGTAGCTTGCATTAGGTCTGAGTTTGATCCCCAGTACCACAAACAAAACAAAAAACAAAACAAAACCAGCACCACCACCCAGAAGTCTGTGTCAGGGGGATTCAAGGATGACTAGAGATTCCATCTTTGATAAACCTGGAGCACTTGAACATATTGCTTCTTTCTGAGTCAGTGTTCATTGAATACCTTTGATGTGTTGGACAGTGTGTCAAGTGCTAGGGGACCAAGAATAGCAAGATACAGTCCATGACCAGAAGGAATCTAGGGACTAACAGGGGAAAGAGTTAATGCACAGTTTTACCCAAGGTTGCTATGGGATCCATAAAAGGAGTACCCCTTCTTAGGAGAAGACTGGGAATGTTTTCTAGAGCAAGTAACATCAAACCTGAGGCTGCACGGGATGGGCGAGTAGGGGTTAGTGAGGTGAAGGAGACAGAGGAATGCATGTTCTAACTGGGAGCCACAGCAGCAGGGAGAGAGGAGCTAAGCATGGTGGAGTGGTGGTTTTGTGGAGGAAGGGTGGGTGGGGTGCTGGGGAGTGCATGGTGTGAAGCAGACTGACCCTGAGGTCTGAGTCATGCCAAGGAAGTGGGACTTTGTTCTGAGGCCAGTTAGAAGTCACGCAAGGGTATCCTGCCATGAAGGGATATGTCTGGGCTGTAGGTCAGGGGAAGACGGGCTTGGAAAAGTTGATGTCCGAAATTAGGGACACCAGTCAAGGGCCACACTGGCGAAGCAATGCTGTTGAGTGATGACTGTGGTCCCAACCAAAGTGCAGGAGGGAATTATGAATGGGGCGGGTGGATCCT